ATTTAACGAACAGCGCCACAACGGCAATACGAGTAACAGCAACAACAACAACAGCAACAACAGCAACAGAACCAGCAGTAACATGGACGGCATTAACAAGCGTGCCGGTCGCTGGGGCTAATAAAAGGCTCGTTACAATGAAAACAAATCAAACCGGCACCCAAGCAAGCCATCATCAAAACGAAGCCAAAACCCAACCTCAACCCAATCCACAATATCGAAAATGAAATAGGAGGGCTAACGAATGCGAATACGAATACGAATACAAACAGCAGCACTAGCAGTTGAAATCAGGAAGTAGTTTAAATTTCCGGTGTCACTCGATGGTCCACACGAAACAACAGCAACAACAGCAACAACAACGACAGCGTTTGCGACGGCAAATTTCCAAATTGATTACGACGTGGGTTGCTGGGTGGCGGGGGACGGTGGACGGGTGGCGGGAGGCGGGAGGCGTGAAGGGTTGAGGGTAAGCTTGGGCTTCAGTTTGAAATGCCATTAAAATGTATTTACAAACGCAAATTGATAGCGATTTTGGTTTGGGTCTGGATTCGAGTCTGGAGCGGTTGGGTGCATCTGCATCTGCATGTGCATGCCCGTGTGTGTGTGTGTGCGTGTGTGTGTGTGTGGCGACCCGTGTGTGTTGACGTTGCAGCTTAGCCAGCGATTTTGTCAGCATGCGTGAGTCGTGTGTCGTGCGTCGTGCCACGTGTGTCGAGCCGAGCGTCGTGCGCCATGCTTTTGGCGGCTGCTTATGCTGCATGTATGTGGTACTACATATGTATGTACTTGTATGTATGTGTGTATGTGCAGATATGAGGTTGTGTGGGTGGGAAATGCATTTTTACCGCCCAACAGCACCAACAACAAAAGTAAAGTTCATCCCCATGACCAGACTCTGCGCTTTGTTCCTATTATTGTCTCTGCCGGAGGATGCGCGTGTTTGTGTTCATTCTCTGTTTGTGTGTCCTGAGGTGTATAAATTGTAACTTTAGCACTTAACACGCTGCCATGTTGGCGATTAGCTGCCACAATGTGCCCATAGTTAGTAACCTGATGTTGTAAGTTGGTTAGTTGGTTGGCTGGCTGGTTGGCTGGTTGGTTGGTTGGTTAGATGGCCGTTGTTGGTCATTTCATCACTTGGCTGCAGAGCTGAAAGCTGCGAGCTGTAGTTTTTATCGTGTACGGTTTCTAATTGGCAGTCAGCGCCCCGAAGTTGTGTTCTTGTTGTCGTATGTAATTTGTTTCATTTTCTAAAAGCCAAACTGTCATTTGCATATTTACGATTGTCCGCCTCACATTGCTTGACAATGCCACAATGTTGCAATTACACAGTAGCGCTGGTATCTGGTTCCAATGCAACTGTACGTTTTCATGACAATGTTCAATGTTCTGCAAGCCGTGCAAGCATACATATCAGATAAAATTCACAAATTTGTCTTTTTAATAACAACTATTGGGAAATAGATCTGGGTAACCAATATTGTCATGATTACATCGACATTTGGTCATCACTTGTGTGCTATTATCAAGCTACAGTCGACATTAGTAATTAAACAAATGGTGTAACGGAATATTTAGATAATTATTTTCTAACCTGGTTCACTTTTTTGCTGTTGACATGTTTAATAATATCGCGTAACAAAATATTTAGGCAATTAGTTTCTGTTGTTCACTATTTTTCTGTTAACATCTAATTTGTGTAGAACAATATCAATTATTTATTCAAATAACCATAAACTTGTTTATGCTTACAAATATTTTAAAATCTGCTTTTGTTAAAATCAAGTATTTAAACACATTCAACACTAGAGTGCGAACCTTTCCTGATAATGGGAATAATAGATGCCTAGACTGGCTAAGTAGGAACCTTTCCTGATAATGGGAATAATAGATGCCTAGACTGGCTAAGTACGAGTTCTTACATTCTCGACCCATTTATGCATTTGTGGCCACACTGATAAAAAAAACCCACGTAAATTTAAATATTTACACGTAGATTTAAATGTGTTCACCATTGACTTCGCACCATGTGTTTAATATTTAAAATATTACATTCAAAGTGTAACGATATTAAATCACAAGTGATGGTGTGGGCTCTTTTGGTTTATTTTTTTAATTTGTAATATATTTTTCCCACTTTTTTGTCTATTCTACTGAATTTAACTCTTTTCAGTAATGACATTTCCCCCATAATGCAATGCAACCTTTTATATATTATATATTCAAATTCGTTTGTTGTTATTACAATTAATAATGTTGACGTTGTTTATGCCTTTTATATAGATTAGATCAATATTAATATTAATAGTGGAGGAAAGCTGAGAGAATACACTTACTTTTCACATTCCTAACGACCATATAAGTATGTATGTATTGTATTTACACCACATAACCGCTGACAATTCTAATCAATGTTGGTTTTTTTTAATATTTAATAATTAAAATAGTTAAACATTTTAAATTAAGCCTGACACACTTTAATGACAAAGATTTACACTTGAACACTTTGAACATTATTCATATTTAAACCAGCAATTGAATAAGTTTTTAGTTAAATTTATCTTGTTTGTATTTGATTTGAATATGAAATAGAAGAATATTAAATTGGTTTTGAAAATATTCATTCAACTTTTTCATTTGTTTATGCAACTTTTTGTTTGAGTGTAGTCGTTTGAAATGAATGAGCTCCTCTATGCTATTATCTACAAGTACAGCACACCAAACTCCCTGAATGACTTACTCTGCTTCGATTGCCAAAATGCTGTATTTCACAAACAAGGACAAGCAACTTAAACTGCAATTATTTTCAAATGAAGTTCATTTGAAATGCAATTTCAAGCATGCCCCTAATATATGCAAACAATTTCCTATGCCAGCAGCAGCGGAGCAGCAAAAAAAGGACAAATCAAGCCAAGGCAATACACACACACACACACACACACACACACACACACACACACACAAACAATATGGGTGTGTATGTCTGTGTGCTGTCAGAAAGGGCGGCGGCAATAACAACAATGATAAATCAATATGCAAAAAGAAACGAGAACGAGCCGAGTTGCCAAACAAGAAGCGTGACAAAATGATAAAGTGTCGACCTCGGTGCGGCGTCGACAACGCTGGAGATGATGGCGACGACAAAACAACTTGTCTGAATGTTACACACGCACACATGCCTACATATGTATGTATATATGTATGTATGTACATACTCCCCTAGAGAAGGCGACACCAACAACAGCAGCAAAGTGAGCAATAAACATACGCGATTAAGTTCATTATGAACACTTGAATAGGAGACAATGCGAAATGGCAGACTGAGACGTGTGTGTGTGTGGGTGTGTGTGTGTGTGTCACAGTTGTCCTCAACTTCCCATACCCCTATTAATTTGACGTTGTTCTGTCGCCTCGTCCTGGCCCTGGGACTGTTCTTACGCTCTCTGCCAGCAACTCTGCGTGATTTGTGTTACAAAATGAAGCAGGACCTTTTCCTCATGTTGCCTTTTCTAATTGTCTATGTGATTGCTTGAGGATGTGTGCGTGTGTGCGTGTGTGTTTAAGTGTGCGTGCCTACTACTATTTGCATTTCAAATAGTAAATCAACTGGCTTCCGTACTGATTTCCATCACTCCAAATGAAACAAATGAAGTCAACTAACAAACATTGCCTGAACATTCCATGCTGCTCATTCAACCTTGGGGCAGGACGAGAAGTAATGCATGGCATTAAAAAATGATCCATGTGCGCTTTTAATTTATGTATCATTGTCCTCATGCCGAGCACAAATTTAACATCAATCCTACCGAGGCTAATTGCGGATCAAAGCACAGCAATAAGGGCAGCAGACTATATAGTACATTCTTTTTTGTTTGGACACCCAGAAACTACAAGAAAGTCTTTTAACTTCAAAAATACCAATTTAAAGTTCGAATCCCCACACTTAACATACTTAAGTAGATCCAAGTAAGAGAAGATACACAAATACTGTAATATGTTAAGTATAAATGTGATTAATTGAGGTCTAGTTGAATATTTCTTAGATTTGTGGTTCCTTTTTCATCAAACTCCCAATGCACGAGATCTGTTCAAAGGGAAAGGTGCATTGTGAATTTTTGCGGGCTGTGTACATTTGATTATCGAAATTTGTTTGTTTGTTATGTCAAAGAATATGTATTAAGTTTTGCGTCAAAAATGGAATGAGGTGCTCTAAAGCACTTGAAATGTTGACTTTGTCTAAAAAAAGGGTTTATGACTGGTACAAGCGCTTTACAGAAGGCCGAGAAGCTGCTGATGACAATAAGTGTCCTGGAGTTGAAATCACGTCAGCAAGCAAAGAAAACATCGAAACGGTGAAAAACATTTTTTGGGAAAGTTGCAGAGCATGTTGGCATATCAATCGGCTCATGCGATGCAATTATCTCGAAATGGATATTGATGAATAAATAAATACTTTTCAAAAAGAAATCGAAATTCACCTTTCCCTTTGAACAGACTTCGTCTTTGTTATATTATCTTGTGGTGGCGAAATTAAGTTTTTGATTCGTCTCAACAGATATAGGAATCTTTCTGAGCCAAGCCATATCAGTCAAGTCGGAAGGGGTGGGGATCAAGTGAATAATTTCAATTTGGCTGGGGCGCTGACTGCAGTTTTGTGTCAGCCGGGCAGTTGGGGCCGGCATTGCGTGTCGGTTTGGCTGGACTCGGTTAGCGATAATAGCTGTCAGAAACAGCTAGCCATGCGTTGGCAGCAACCTCAAAAACCATAAACCAGCATGCAAATCTGAGCAACTGTGTGCATGTATGTGCATGCATATGTGTGTGAGCACTCGCTGCTGTCCACCGCAGCTTGTCGGATGCCTTGCCTACCCAGAGGCGTCGGCTGTCAGGGCCGTGAGCGCGCCTCGGTTTCGAGTCAATTTCGGCTTTGTCTGTCGCTTGCAGCGCACCTGTTGATGGGGAATGAGGGTAATGGAATGATTAAAACAAATATGGACTGCGGTGCCTCAAAAAACATATATTGCCAGCGGTAAGATCAGCGGCAGATGGAACAGAATAGATTTGTATTCTCTGCTGTCGGCCGTAGCGGCATTCTCGGCTATCCATTCCCGAAAATGGTACACATCAGTATAAACGCCAGCTGAGTCCGGTTCGCCGCATCCAAAGCCATATGAGACTATGCCCACGACTTTATCGTTGCATATTAGGGGGCCACCCGAGTCACCTTGACAGCTGTCCACCTCATGATCATTTGAGTCGGAGGCACAGATCATGCCCTTGGTGAAGCCCTCGAGCCGTTTGCAGTAGGACGTGGGATTGATAGCCATGTCGCCGTTGACAGCCTCATCGGGCGTGGGGCCAAACTGCGTAGCATGGAAATAGGATGGGGTAGATAGGGATGACAGTTAACTAACCTCATACTAACCTGTATGACCGTGCCCCAACCGCAGACTGTGCATTGGAGACCCGCTTCTGGCGGAGAGTCGGCTAAGGATATGATTTCTGTGAATTTTTTTTCTATCTTCAGTTCATCTTTGAGCTTGATGATGCCAATGTCGTTGGTGAGGCGGCGCGCCGAGTACTTCGGATGAGGACGGACCTTGTCCACCACAGCCACCTGTGTGTGCGCAGTTCGGACTAGGCGTCGTGGCGTCCCAGACACAATTTTTATTTTGCTGGGTCGTAACTTTGTGGCCCTGCAAAGACACGCATGAGCTGAAGCTTCTGACAACGATCAATGCACATTAAGCACCCCACATAGAGACAATGAGCGGCTGTAAGGATGGCCTTGGTTGAGATAATTGCGCCGCCGCAAAAATGATTGTCGCCAAAGAATTTTCGCTCCTTGGCTGTGCGAATCGAGACCACATATTTGACCAGTTGGTTGACAGTTGGTCGATAGCCGCCGGTGACCAGAAAATGAAACTCATCGTCTTCGTAGTCGGTGCGAGGCTTTATTGTCGGTTTCTTGCGCTTGGTCGTGTGTTTGGCCCTCGCAGCCCGGTTGGAGCGCAAATTATCCAGATACGTTGTATTTTTCCCCACCTGGGTAGCAGTATAGTATGTGCGGCTCGTGGTCGATGTAGAGCTAAAAAAATTCAGATGGGTGTTATTATCTTCTCTCTGGGCCACACCAGAACCATTAAGAGGATGCTGTGCCTGACGGTTGACCATCTGGGCATCTATTAAGTAAAGTTCAAAGACAAAAACAATGTAAACCAGAAATTTGGACAGAAACATTTTGAAGATAGCACATTTTATGAAAATTGACTGAAAACACCCGAAATCCTACAAAATCTCGGCGATAAAAGCCACACCGCTAGCAACAATGGAAAACGGCAATTCGATCTCGGATAACAACAGCAGTGGTTGCTGCATTCAACGAGGGGTTACGAATCCTAGAATCCTATTAGCACCATAGATTTGAAAGAACTGCTTTAATCTAAGAAAAAACAAGTATATTAAATATATATATATAGCTTTAAGACCTTAAATAATTTGTAAAGTAAAGATAAACAGCAATTACAATTGGCAATTAGCGGGGGCTGTTTAATAAACTATTTTGGGAGAAATTCGATCTGATTTGACTCATAAATGTAGGGCCTACCTGGGTTACCTACAGAAGTGAAGGTGATTGAATATAATAACTGGAAATTGATAATAATTAAAAAAACAATAATATTAAACTGCTCTTTAAAGAAGTTGTATTGTACCGGGCCATGAAGGAATTGTAATAGCAGCTGTTATTCGAGAGAATAAACTGCAGTCAGTGGAGTTTCTCAGGAATTTACATTTAAATACGAGTTTTATCATTAAGTAAATAAATCACTTATAATTCCATTCCCACATTAACTTAACGAGTTCGATGGAATGCTGATCAAGAATATCCAATATAGAATATATATTTATCTGCAACATTTCCATTCTCTCATTATTTGGTAACCAATTGTATTTTTCAGACTTTCATCTTTTAATTTCATACTATTTGGGCGGGTATTAACTTGCTTATACTTATCACGTTGAGTGTAAAGTAAAACCTGACACTTTTGACCTAAAAGTTGGAAAAGGTAGCAATTGACGAGTTTTACGGAAGCAAATTCTGTAAATGGTCCAAAGCCGCAAATCAAAAACGTTAATGCATACATTTTCCAGTCACTCTTAATTTTGTTTTTGCTTTAAACGAATTTTTTATATTTTGAACTGAAATTTTTTAGAGGAAATAAATATTATTAAGGCAGATGAAAGCTGGATTCAAATAATACAAGGAGCGTTCCAAAGTAAACAGGACTTTTTGAATCTAGCGCCCCCTGGTGGCTGGTGCGTTAGAATTTCCTATCTTTATCGATTGTCCAGTGAGAATTTCATGACGTTTCATCGATTGGAAGTGAAGTTAATGCGTTTTAAGTGCCAGTATGTTTGTGTTATCGGTGCGAAAATGAGCTTCGAACAAAGAGCCAACATTAAATTTTGTTTTAAAATTGGTAAAACTTTTACCGAAACGTTTCAATTGATGGAACAAGTTTAGGGCGATGATTGCCTATCCCGTAGCAGAGTGCACGAGTGGTTTCAACGTTTTCAAAGTGGTCGTGAGGACATTAATGACGATCAACACCGAAACCGAAAATTCCATCGAAGCTGTGCGTGAATTCATCAAAAATCAGCCGAAATCATCATTGAAATTGATGGAAATGGAATTGAACATCTCCAAAACATCGATTTATCGCATTTTGACCGAACATTTGGGCTTACGAAAGGTGTGTGCACGGTTTGTTCCGCACAAATTGACTGACGACCAAAAATTGCTCAGAATCGATCGACGCTTGTGACCGATTATTTGACCAAAAATCACATTTTAACCAATAACCACTCGCCGTATTCACCTGATATGGCACCGTGCGACTTCTACCTTTTCGGAAAAATGCATTTGCCCATGAAAGGAAAGCGTTATGCAGACGTAGAGGCCATTCAAAAGGCTTGCACCGGCATGCTGGCAGCCATACCGGCCAACGAGCTAAAAAAAAGCAAAAAGCTGTATTGAAGCAGAAGGAGACTATTTTGAATAAAATAAATCGATTTTGCCGAAAAAGCCATTTGTTCTGTTTTTTTTTTAAAGTCCTGTTTACTTTGGAACACACCTTGTACTATAACTTTAAATGGAACTTGCTTGTGCTTAGTCTGAGGAAGAGTTATGAAGTATTTGTCTTGACCTACTAAACAGTTGACATTTATAGGATTATACTTATAATTATCTTTATTTATATTAAATTTAGATCTCTACGTCGCCTAACAAACGAGTGAAAGGATTGCAACTGGATAGATAATCTGCTTAGTTATGCATATTTCTCGTTTATTTGTCATTCCAAAAATGGTTGAACTTAATATATATACTATATATATATATATGGTTGGTTTCAGATTTCAAGCCCTAATCACTTAACTTTTTGGATGCTGATATCCTTTGCTGCCACTGCTTCCAACTGTTTGCATTAATATTGCATTATTTTATGAAAATACAAAAGGGTGTTTTTTTTTTAAATATTGTTTTGCACATAACAAATAAGAGAAGTTTGCGACTAGATAATTTAGAATTTTCATTAAATTGCAAGGATACGCTTTGAAGTTGATATCCTCGATGGGTTCCGTTCTGGAACCAAGCCCTTGGGTGCTGCCAGCGGACAATGCAAACATGTTTTTTTTCCATAACTTCTGAAGCAATCCGATAAGCGTATGACAAAGTTCTGGCAATAAATAACACACACTAACATGCACACATGTCTGCGAGTGGGCGTGTGAAATGTGACTGTGTGTGTGTGTGTATGGATGTGTGTGTGTGTGTGTGTGTGTGCTGCAGGCACAACAACTACTTGTCAAGGCTTTGTTGTTTCCGCTTGGCCACTTTTGGTTCGTCGCTCGCTCGCTCAAAATGCGTTGCACACACAAATTGTCGAGTGCATTTAGACACAATGACACATACACCAACACATATAGACACACACACACGCACACATACACACATACTTTCGCCACTTCTTTCTGCGCACAAATTTTTCTCGCCGCTCCCCGATCCCCGCTCCTGCCATTATAAAGTTGACGCTGTTGCCGTAGTCCTACTTAGTTGTTTCATGTCACTTAAGTCCTTGCTACAAAGTATTCCCTTTCCGGTTCATGTGTGTGTGTGTGTGTGTGTGCATGTAACAACACTTTTCCCGTGGCCTGGTGTGTATGTCCTGTGAGCCGCTGCTGTCGTTATCATTAATTTGCAGGCGGCTTTTTGCAATAATTTACAAAGGTTTTTCTTCATTTTTTTCATGGCTTTTCATGTCGCCTTTTGCCGACTATTTGAAAAGCTAAGTTGCCATTTTGTCAGTTTGCAAAGACAAATTTTGTCTTGCCGGCAAAGTAGCAAAAATAAAGTCTGGTGTTTATTTATATTTTCCACTTTTCCTGCGCTGAGCAATGACTACAGTAAAAAATTCATTGATTTCGCGCCCGGTTATGTTCAAGCTTACATAGTTATAGAAATGAGGTTTGTTTCATAAATTTTAGCAACAAGTGATTATTTGGTAATTTGATAGTCCGCTTGTATAAGCGGAACGGGATCCGGAAGCAGGACAATTTTGTGTATTTTTTTCATACAAATTTAGCAAAACTGTGTCCTTAAGTCAAGCTTCAAAATGCTATGAAATGCAATTGGAAAAGTATATCAATAATGCATATACTTGTACATTTCATTTTAATTGAATAAACTCTTAATAATAATGTGGATGCAATTCAAGCTGTACATGCTGGTTATATTAAAACAAGATAGAACGCTACAGTCGAGCAAGCCCGACAGTAAAATAGCCTGTACTCTCCACAAAAGGAAAAATTAAAAAAAAAAAAATTAAAAAAAAATTAAATTATTAAAAAAAATGAATGAATGAATTAATTAAAATAATTAATTTAATTAAATTAGAATACATGTTTATGTTCAGTTTAAACAGCATACATTTACATCACGTACCTATGCGTGTTCATATGCGTGTATGTATGCAGCACAAAGTTGAACAAAAGCAGCAACAAGAACAACAGCTGCGGGCAGCGCTGCCGACAGAGCTGCAGGCAGCGCATGAGCAGCGATTTTACTTATGGCTATAACTTTCTTCAGAATTGACCTATCATGACATTAGTACTAACTGGATGTACCTACCAAAAGTGATTTTTAAATTCCGAGAATTACGGAAGTTATAGGAAAAAATACGAATTGCGGGGGAGTGGGGGGGTGTATCAGAAAAAATAAACAAACTCGTTCTGCCTAGGGCTTATAGGAACCTTGATACCAATTTTGGTTATCCTAGCTCTTGTACTTACTGAGATCCTTGCGCTCATACAGACAGACGGACAGACGGTCAGACGGACAGACGGACAGACGGACATGGCTATATCGACTCGTCTTCTCATCCTGATCAAGAATATATATACTTTGTGGGGTCTGCCACGCCTCCTTCTGTGTGTTACATACATGCGCACAAAACTAGTATAGCCTTTCACCGTTTGGGTACAGGCTATAAAAAGAAAACTTAAACTTACCAAAAGTGGTTAAAAGTGGTTGGTGCTTATATTATAATTTTTTGTATTGTGGAAAAATGTCAAACATTTTTGAGATTGCCATTTTTCTCGATACATAAAATCTCGTCAAATTTTCCTTTCCTCTACTTTTGAAATAAATTCGAGACTATTCTGCACTCGAGCCAGCTGATAATAAGGATATCATGAACTGAATTCGTTATGCAGTAATTCAGTGATTTTCGTAATCGTTTTATTTGAGGCGTGAGAGGCGGTCGCTTGCTCCTACAACCTACTAACAAACATATACATATGCATATAAATGCATAAGTACTATTGGCGATTTTAGTAGATAGCATTGCAAATGCGACTTAGGCATAAATAAGTACAAATGCAAGTGCAGGTATGTGTGTGTGTGTGTGTGTTTGTGCATATTTTACTCTTCATAAGCTGCAATGGCATTTCTGTTATGAGCTTGTCTCTGTGTCTGTGTTCAACAATTAACAATTAAAACAAACTGAACTGGCGTGCCTTTGTTATATACACATACACACATATGTACTGTGCTTTATATGCATGTGGGCATGTACGTGTACTTGTATGTGTGCAAAGAAAATTCCAAAATACCTGCGGTAAGCCAACCAAAGACACCTGTAAAATTTCCCGGACGAATGCGTGTGTGCAAAGGAAAACGTCACAGGACT